TGAACCTTCCGGGGAACAACTGAAATAGACACGTACAGAGATGGGGAAAGAAAAAGAGTAAGACACAAAAATAACAAATTGACCAGCACCTGGCCTGTGCGTGCCCCTTTAAGACTTTGGAAGCATCTTCACATTCATTATTACATGGTCTGGGATGTAGTTCAACGGAGAATTCTTGCTTAACATTTATTATTTCTTTTGCTTTTACGCTAACATTGTGGGAGAGGCAGATCAGAAGGCTTACTTTTGGGTCTTTTAAGGAATGGAAGGTTCTAGAAGGGAAAGGATTCTTCCCTGGTCTCCCAGCTAGAGATTGACAGCAGGTCTCAAGCCCAGCTCTTCTGAATTCAGATCTTATCTCCCTTCAGTGATAACATGGCTGTGTCCAAGGGGCCCTGGATCAACACAAGAAATCTCCCTGCAACTCCCACAGGACGCATCACTAGAGGAATCCTGCTTTCCTCCACAGGGCTGGAAGAAGCCTTGTACCCAGGAAGCAGAAGGAGCCTCCCACAGGAAGTCACCATGGACTAAATGGGCCTTGGCAAATGTTTATTAGAAAAGGCTGGAGCCCCAAGGGCTATGGGAGGCTGCATGGTGGTTTCAGGGTTAAAAGTTGCTGTGACCCTGCTGGTCACGGGAGAACAGCTACAATACTTCAGGAGAAAGTCTCCTGAGCTGCTGTCTGTTTGTTCCACTCATGTTCACTGGTGTGACCCCTGGCTCTTTCATCTACTTCTGATTTCTTTCCTAAATCTCACCTCTGGCGCTTTGCTGACCCACCCACTCCTGGTTACTAATTTCATTCTGCGACACTCCCCCTGACCCTTTTCCGACTCCCCTGTCTATGACTCTTAGGGCTGATCCCTAGTGGTTTCCACTTTCCTCTGACCTCATAGATCCTTGGACATCTGGCCTTTCCCTGGCTGAATCCTGCCAGTTCCCTGAGTGAGCACTGGGGGAGAGTTGTCTTGGAGAAGCCTTGAGGTCAGACTATAGAGGGTAGTGTGATGCTGTGCCCAGCCTGCCTCCCCCTTCTGAGGTACCCTGTACTTGCCCTTGTGCAAACGGAAGGAACCACAGTGATATTGTAGCAGGTTTGGAAATACAAAAAGAACAATCTAGATTTCCATCAAAAAATAATTCCAAACAGTGGGGAGGGGGCAAAGAAAGCTCTCTGTATACGCTCATGAAATAATTTCAAGATGAAATTGGAAGAGAAAAAAGTAAGATTCAGGACAGTATATAAATTTTGCTACCATTTGTGTTAAAAAAAAAAAAAGAAAAGAAAAGAAAACAGGAAATACATACTTACTAGTGTGATAGGGTTTCTCTGGAAGGCAGCAGAAAGAGCAATTATCTCTGGGGAAGGAAACCAAGGGACTTGGGGAAAAAGGATGATAGAGAAACTTACTTTTTGATCTTAGTACCATGGGTATATTACATGTCCAAAATTTTGGATTAAAAACAAGGTTGGGCTGGGGATGTGGCTCAAGCGGTAGCGCGCTCGCCTGGCATGTGCGCGGCCTGGGTTCGATCCTCAGCACCACGTACAAACAAAGATGTTGTGTCTGCGAAAACTGAAAAATAAATATTAAAAAATTCTCTCTCTCTCTCACTTTAAAAAAAAAACAACAAAAAACAAGATAAATGTTTTGGAATCAACAGAGATATAGGACTAGAAGGAAACTGGGGACCCAAGAGGTGATATTTTTGTTGTTGTTGTTGTACCGAACAGAGCATTAAGTCATTAAGGGATTAAAGAATTTTTCCAAATTCCTACAACTAAGTGACAGAGCTATGACCAGAGCCCTCATTTGACTCTTGGCACCACATTCGAGGTGGACAATAAAGTTGTGAAGATCAAATCAACCAACACACCTTTATCCTAAGTACCTATCACGAAGTAAGCAATCAATCAATGCCAGGTACTGTTATTCATTATTTTGAGACTATCACAGAGTTCAGGTTGATGGGGCAGGGAGAACTGTGAAGGAGGTTGTTATAGGAATTCCTGGAAATTAACACTTGTAAGAAAAATAAAAATAAAATTAGGGTATGGGAGAGATTGGTATGAACCACTGATTCTTATTTATTTAAATAGACACTAGAAGTGGGGCGTGTAGCTCTAGCTGCTCAGGAGGTGTTTGATGGCCTGGGCAACATAGTGAGACCCCATCTCAAAAAGAAAAGAAAAGGAAAAATTCACTAGAAAATAATCTCAGAGCGCAAGGGGTGCTTCATGTAGAAAACATACGTGAGGATGTGCATTATGGAGAGGACCTCTGGCTCCCTTACACAATTCCATGAAGGGCCACCTGTGACCACCATGGTCCCATGCTGGAAAACACATGTACCCAACCCAGGACCATCAGGGGCACTTCTTTCCATTTCTCTTTCATTTCCAATTGTTGAAATGTCCTCATTATTCCTGCTAACTTATTTTCTTCCCTATTTTCTCTTTTCCTGTGGCTATAGGTCAAGTGGGGACTCAAAGAGGGCTGAGTGTTCCACTGGGAGCGTCATGTGTCTCCCTTGGAGAGGTACAGAAAAGATCTTATCATTCTGGGAAGCTTTGTTTGCAGTGCATCTGGGGTGAGAGCCTCAGCAAGAGCCCTGGCAAAGCTGAGGTTCTGGAAATCTTGTGCTCATGTTGCCCTAGTGCCAGAAAGCTACCTCCTAGGCTCCCTCTCTCGCTCTCCACCTTATTGCCAAACTTCATGATTTGCAAGCATTCCTTTCCTCCCCGATTCAAGGAAAAATATAGTGTGAAGGGAATCAACCAGATGCCTGTCAATAGATGAAAGCATTAAGAAATGGTGTGTGTGTGTGTGTGTGTGTGCAAAATGGAGTTTTACTCAGCCCCCAAAAAGAATAAAATTATGGCATTTGCTGGTAAATGGATAGAAATGGAGAACATCATGCTAAGGGAAATAAGCCAGACACAGAAAATCAAGGGTTGAATGTTTTCTCTCATATGTGGAAGCTAGAGCAAACTGAAGGAAAGGAGGAGAAGATTGGATATCATAAAGATATAGGGGACATCAGTAGAGTAGAAGCAGGAGGAGATTGAGAGGCAGAGTGGAGACATGGGAAAGGGAAGGAAACACTGAAAGAATTCTTTAAAAATCATGCTATGTGCATATATAAATATGCCACAGGGAATTCCGTTTCCCACAGGATCAGGGAATCCATTTGATAATCACTTTGGTAAATGCCACCCAAAACTCTCAATCAGAATCAAGTTATATTCTGCAGTTTGTCACTGAATGATACATACTGGGACCAAAAGATTACGAAAGTTGCCCAAGATCACACTTGGAGGGGTAAAGATTGGATCTCAGAGGACCCAGAACAGAACTGAAGCTTTTAACTTCACACTCTATTTTTCTTTTTCTTTGTTTTATTACCTTGACAGTAGGGAAAGCTAACAGTTTATTTGTTTTTTGATTGGTTCTTCCTACTGGGACATGAAAGTGGGAGACTGAAATGTTTATCTATAAATCCAAAATAATTAACTGTGACTGTCTTAGTTCACCTGCCATAACAAAATACCACAGCCTGGGTGGCTTAAACAGTTCTGGAAACTGAGAAGTTAAAAATCAAGGTACTGGCAGATTCAGGGTCTGGTGAGAACCCTCTTCCTGCCTGCCCTGTTGCTGAATCCTCATAGGGCAAAGGGAGAACAGGCAGAATGAGGGCTAAGGTCTCTTCTTCCTCTTCTATAAGGGCACTAATCCCATTTGGGGAGCCTCACCCTCATGACCTCATTAAACTTAACTACTTCCTAAATGCCCCCACTTGACACCATCATATTGGGGACATCATCATATTGGGGATTAAGCCTTAAGGCTAATATATGAATGGGGTGGGGGTGCACACAAACACTCCTTTCATAATAGTTATCAAACAAATATTGTTATTGTTTTAACCTGAATCACAAGGCTAACATATTGAATTGTCTCTGCTGTGTCTGGGTCCGTCATTCAGTGGAGTCATGGTCTAACTTGTACTGTAGAGTGTGACTTAAAGCAGCCAACTTCTCCATTTGCATCTCACCTTTCACCTTGCAGAGAAATTCCACGTACACTATCTTTGTGACCTGCCACAGGCTGGGCTAGCAGTACTACCCAGGGTTCAAACAGAATAAACTTGCTTGTACCTTGTCAGTAAGGAAAGCTACACAGATGCACTTTATTGAATAACTTTAAGTATTGGTGGAGTTTTCTTATTCTCCAAGGGAACTTCCCCTGGAGAATCTTACTTTACAAATGAGATATGCAGCATACTTTTTATTTAGAGTCCAGAAGGATTTGTCACGGGCAGACTTGGTACTTTGCAGAATGGAAGGCCTAATGTTGAAACCTAAGTCATCACTCCAAAGACCAACATCCTTTCCTATTGATAAGTACCTTTTATTAAAAATTAGGACACAGAGTGAATTCCTTTACACCTGTTTACATTTAATTATTTTTGGCGGTACTGGAGATCTAACCCAGGGCCTTAGAGTTTGCTAGGCAAATGCTTTATGGCTGAGCCGTGTCCCCAGCCCCATTTCTTGACATCTAAATGGGTTAGATGGCGTGCACTGAATTTTTGGTATGTATACATTTAGATTTGTTCAGAAATTTTATTAAAATATCATGATACCCTATAGGCGATCACCTGGAATGTCACACCACTTGGCTTGGGAAATTATCCTTGACAGGACAAACCTTCCAACACCCTTGGCTGAAGTGTATCCAAAGTGTCTGGTCAAAGCTAAACTGCCTGCATTTATGGAAGGTGTATCTCTGGGCACTGATTCCATGTTCAATATACTCACAGCTCAAGCTCCATTTATGTTAAATCAATACACGGTATCACCATGAACTGGAAGGCCAAGTGCAGTGGATCAAGTTTATCACCAAATGTATCTAGGATAAATTTAAAAATCATTGAAACCATAACATACCAGCTTTGTCTCCATGGCAATCTCAGTTTTGTGCATGTCCCCACAGGTAATGGTGACGAATCAGAAGATACATCTACATTCCCAGAAAACGAAGCCACAGCTGAAGAGACCACCTCAAGTGTGTTGATTACAACAGCCACAGAAATAGTATCTGAAAATACGAATTCTACCCACATCGATGAGGACACAGATCAGTTAGAGTTTATATTAATGGTGTTGATCCCATTGATTTCCTCGGTCCTCCTACTTTTATTAGTGGCACTCCTTGTGAGGTACTGTAGAAGAAAGAGAACTAAACAAGGTAAATATTTGGTGTATCCTTATTTTCAGGAAATTGCTTTACAGGTTAATGAGGACTCAATAAAACAGTCTCATTTTTTCTTTTACTCAGAGCCTTCTAGCCAAGGATCTCAAAGTGCTTTACAGACATGTGAGTATTCTCCTGACATCCATTTAGGGTTTGGGATGGGGTAGAAGGAAGTGAGATGTTTCAAAATTAAGCAACAAAAGCACCTGTAATCCCAGCGGCTGGGGAGGCTGAGGCAGGAGGGTTGCGAGTTCAAAGCCAGCTTCAACAACAGTGAGGCACTAAGTAACTCAGTGAGACCCTAAGTAAAATACAAAATAGGGCTGGGGATATGGCTCAGTGGTCGAGTGCCCCTGAGTTCAATCCCTGGTACCCCCAACCAAAAAAAGAACAAACCACTATGTGATAAGTGATACATTTCAATGGCATTTTTAAGCAGTTAATAATGCCATGTCCTTTTTGTTTTTCTTTTAAGGACATGTTTTCAGTCTACCTTGAAATTTAAAACATAGCACTGCCATTTTGGTATCCAGTGCAGATGGTGTATAGTCTTGGCCAAGAGGCCAGTGTGATGTTTCCCACCAGGTGGGAAGAGGGTCAGGAGGTGAGGCAGTGGGTCAATTTAGGGCTAGGGATGGAGGCTGGAGACCTTGGGGTCTTTACCACAAAAGGACCGGGGAAGCAGTGTTCTTGTTCCCACTGAAACTTTTGCAAGGAGATTGGGGTACTTTTGTCTTGTGCTGGTAAAAATGATGCTGACTCATTTTTTTAAATTGAAGCTTTTTTCTTCTCCTTTTTTCTTTTTCTGATTCTGGGAAACATATCTACAAGTGCTTTACCACGAGCTACTTTCCCAGATCTTAAGTTAAGCTTTTAAAAGTCATTCTGGAAATTACTCAAGGAATAAGAGGTTTCCTGATAACATACAGAGTCATATGCAAAACTTGTTCTGTGTCCCTCTGGCCCAGTAACAGGGCACCTGGGGCTTTGAGGTCATGACCTTGGCCTGAATGCTTCCCCCACGGTCCCTGCACGGGGGCAGCTCTTAGCTCTCAGCAGAAACTATAACAGCTATTTCCAAAGCTAGCAGATGAGGCAATGTGAGCTGGGGGAGAAGCCCCAAAGTGCATTTCCCTTCATGGCTCATAAAATAGACACCTAGAAGCAGGAAATACAAGTTTCTTCACCCCTTGAAATTACAGGGTGGCCTAATAACAGTGGTCAAGTGGGATTTCTGCAGAAGCTAAAGATAAGGCAAGAGGCAGCAGAGCTGGCTGGACCCCACTTCTTTTTTTGAGATAGGCCTCCCGTTATCCAGGTTGGCCTCAAACTTGCAGGCTTAAGCCATCCCCCTGCCTCTCAGCCTCCAGGAGTAGAATAACAGGGACTACGTGGACACAGACCTGGATCCCATTGTTTAACCTCAGGCAAAGTAAGAACTTCCTGCCCCAAACCATAGCCCCACAGCCCGCTAAATTAATGGACTCCGAGGAGGGGCACAGGGTAGGTGTCTAGTCAAAGGGTCACGTTTGTAGGCTTTAGATTCAGAAAGTGATTTTCACTGAACTGCACTGTGCAAGTCTGTCCGTTCAAGGGCTATTTACACACAAGAACTGGCCTCATCCTCCGTCAGGGCCCAGGCCTCCCACCCTGTAGCCATACTTGAAGTTTTTGCTGTTGCCAGATCACAGCTTGACTTCCGGGGACCACGGATAGACGGCCCTCTGCCTTCTGTCTGGAATTTCCTTCTTGTCTGCTTGGCAAACGGCCACCCCATTCTGCAGTACCCAGGGCTAAAGCTCTTACAGAGACATTCCCCAGGCAAAATGCATCACCACTTCTGGGTTGTCATAGCACTTTGTTCACACTTACTGTCCACAATACTCATGTTGTCATCATAAGCAAGTGACCTTTTTTTGTGTGTTTTTATCTTTCTTTCCTGCTACATTGTGTTCTATTTAAAGTCCAAAAGAGCCAAGAAGTTGTCTTATTCCTGTTTGACAGTGTGGCACTGCGGTTGAGAGCACAGATTGTAGAACCACACTCCTTGGTTGGCTTTTGCAAGACCAGCTCTGTAATCTCTCTCAGTGTCCTCATCCATAAAATGGGCAAATTCAATACTTACCACATAGAATTGTAATTAAATGAAGGGATGCAACTATTTCCCTCTATCATCTATCTATCTGCGTATCTATGTAGTACTTAGGTAAAAGTGCCTGACGTAAGTTCTAAGTAAATGTTCACATGTTATTATTATCACTTATTATATGGTACCCACACATATTATCTGCTCAGTATATGTTGAATGAATGAGTTGATGACAGGATGTCAGAATATTTTTTGAAAAATACCTACACTCAGAGGCAAAAGCAAATTGGCACATTATCCCTACTACAAATCAGCACCACGTTTTTAGTTGAAATATTCTCACTGTAGGAAAACACAATATAGAAAACTTAGAAATTCAGACCAACTGCTTCTCATAAAATTTTTTGATAAAGGTAACTTTTTGATTTTTTTTCTTTCACTCACTAGCCACACCTTTAATATAAACATAAATATCTCTTCTGAACAGAATGATAAATGGTTAGCAACCACTTCCTCCACCCATTTCTATTTAACATTATAATACAAGTCTAAGACAAAAGAATATTTAAATAACTAATTTTTTTTTTCAGGAAAAACAAAACTGTCTAACTCAATCAAAGAGACCAGCATTTTGCTTGGTTAGTTCCAAAGGAGTGCTCAGTTGCAGGCCTGGGCACCTGGACACTTGATGTCCCTTCAGAAAGTAGGCAGAGGCACACTGGTTCTTTCCTCACATGATAGACCCTGGTCTGGTGACACCTGGGGAGGACGTGACCAACCCTTTCAGAATGGATACTTCATCTGATTGGAAATACCCTTGGTTTTGTTTCAGTGCTGACTTTGAGCAGGCTAAGCACACGCTCTGTCACTGAGCTAGTCCAAGATTACTGTTTAAAATTTTCTTGTGGCCTTTTTTTTAATACCTTTATTTTATTTATTTATTTTTACATGATGCTGAGGATGGAATCCAGTGCCTCACCCGTGCTAGACAAGTGCTCTATCACTGAGCCACAACACCCTCCTCTGTTCTTTATTTTTTATGTGGTGCTGGGGATTGAACCCAGGGCCTCAGCATGCTAGACAAATGCTTTACCACTGAGCTAAACCCCCTAAATTACCTTTTTTTCCCTTTGAGCCTGTCTTTTCATGTCCGGGGGGAAAAAGGAAATATTGCATAGTAACCTGTTGTTTTGCGACCCCTCTTCCTAGGCTTCCAGGCATTACATTTGCAGTTGTTACCACTTAACATTTATTAAGTACTTTGCTGTGAGTGTGTGTTTGGGGCAGGGGGAGGGGGTAGATGTCTTGAAAGAGATGCAGCTGGCAGGAAACTGTCACTTTGAACCCACAGCAGCTACATGATGTTCTGCCCTGCTCAGTAAATCTCTCAGGAAAGAGACTTGCTTACTGCTCAGCTTGGAAATAAGACAAGGAAGCCAGAGTCTCTTGCAGCTCCTGTGTCCCCAGCCCACACCCAAATTATCCCACCATCCCATTCACAGAGGAGGAGAGCTAGGAGTGGGGTATTGTCAGGCCAAGTGGTTGTGATGCAGGAAGTGAGGGAGGAGGACAAGGTGGGGAGGAGGATATGAAATGGAAGGACTCTAAGGGGAAAATGGAATCCAGGGGGGAGAGGAAGGGGGGCTGCTAAAAGCTGCATTTGCCTCTGGGTTGCAAAGGGAATAGGTGGCTATTAATAAAGAGCTGTAGGCCAGGTGGAGTGGAGCGGGCAGGGCCTGATTGCTGAGGACAAGTAATTGGTCTCCCTCCTGGTTTAATGTTTTACTCTCCCAGATGTTTTTCTGTTGCCATGGCGGCTGGGGCAGGGGTAATGGCCATGGAGCAGGGAAGACGAGGCCACAAAAGGCTTTTTGCTCTCTTTTAATACTGATTATAGGAGCTTCGCATTTGGTGCATCTGGAGCACTTTGGTAATGGGTTTTTTAACTTTTCCATCATCTGCATGCAAGCTAGCTTTTGCTCACCTCCAAGCCTGCAGGGAACCCGGATTACAAAGATAAATCCATTGCCCACAACAGTGGGGCTGTAGAGACACATGCTCTCTGAGAAATTATTGGGGGGGGGGCAGTTATTAAGCAGGTAGGCAAAGAGGGAGAGGAGGAGAGAAGGAGGGACAAAATAGGGTGATTTTTAAGGGTTCCCCATCAGGAGAATCAATCGCCTAGGGGCTTTATTTATAGTAAAATCCCTTAAGGAACAAGCCGGTAAATTTTAGAATAGAGATGAATATATAAAAACATGTAAGATGCAGATAGTTTCCTTTCCCCAGTTTCAAGTTATTTTTTGAGGAGTCAGGTACCTGCAGGAAGCTTCAGATTCCTACTGGGGAGCAGGAGGATATAACAGCCCCTCCAAAGCAGGCAGTCATGGCATGAAACTTAAATGTGCATCCGGCTTTCCTGGATTGGCAGTGCCGTTCATGCTTGCCAACTGCAGGAAACCACCCCAGTGCATGGCTGCCAGGAGGTCTGTTCCAGGTGCCTGCTGGTTGTGTTGCCTCGCTGGGACCTGCACTTCTGTAGGCCAGATAAAAGCAGGCCTCTGACTGCCAAGATCAGGAACATCTGACTATTGGGTGGACCTCTACAGAGTGGCTTTCTTTCTGATCGTTCTCACTTCATAAAAACACGGTGGTGCTATCCACTATCCATCCATTTGACATTGTTGCTTCATTTCTCTGGTCTCCCTGCCAAACAAAACAGAGCCTGGGCCCAGACATCAGGCTGTGGTTCTTGCCACATGTTCATCTGGAATCTGATGTTCATTATAGACGTTTTGTAAACTGTTTCCCTGACTTTTATCCCAATCAGCAGCAGCAAAAGCAGGTGGGCTGGATGTCTATCATGATAATGCCATCCAACAGATTGGATGTGAATTTAACCTCAGGGATGAACAATCAAGATTAAGACTATTCATTGATTCAATAAATATTTACTAGGCATTTGCCAGGTACTGTGTTAGCAGGACAGGAGCTGGGGATGATGTGAACAGGACAGACATGATCTCTGTCCTGGGGGAGCTGTGGGCTAGTGAGAGAGACAGGCAAAACAGAGCCAAGCAGATGGGTGGATGAGAAATTGTGACCAACTCGATGGAGGAAGCAAGCAGGGTGCTGAGCCTCAGGAAGATGTGTCCTTCTCAAATAGAGGTGGAGCAGCCTCCCTGAGGGCAGGTTACTGAAGCTCAGAACTTAGATCCAGTCATTGAAAGAGCTGGGGTAAAAGCGCAGTTTCAGGAGGAGCCTTTGATGGAGTGACCCACATCCTGCTTCAGGACAGAGGACAGTGGCGCAGTGTTCAGCATGTGTGCCATGGGAGATAAAGCCCTGGAGTTTTGAACTGGGACATTTTATTGAGGGTGGTCAAGGAGCAAGCTCTGGAGCTGAACCCTATCTTTCTTTCCTTTACCACTGTTTTCCTCTTCATGTGGATATAAAAAAGATACAAGATACCTCTGATCTGAAGTGAGCTCGGGGAGCATCCTTACCCAAAAGAAAACAGATTTCATACCCATTAGGCTTCATGTCAATATGGCAATCTGCACTTGTTCAACCTGGAAGTTAATTATTGCTCCTTTAAAAATGGAATTTACTGGAGTTAGGTTTGGGCTCAGTGGTAGAGCGCTTGCCTAGCATGTGTCAGGCACTGGGTTCGATTCTCAGCACCGCATTTATATATGAATAAAATAAGGGTCCACAACATCGAAGAAATATTTTTTTAAAAACGTAATTTACTTAAAAATTTTTTTGGATTGCTTTGTAAAGGAGACTTCAGCTGTTGATGCTGGTGGACAAAACTAACTTGACCTTTATATTTATTCCCTTTTAGATGAACTGGGAAGTGAAAACTTGAAAGTGTGAGTCCTCCCCACCTCCTCCAACCAACTCGCTCCTGGATGAGAACAGCTAGGGAGGGGACATGAGAGCCCTCGGCCTTTTCCTGGGCTCCGATGCCCTTGCAGGGTTCTCCTACTTCCCGGGCCCCCGGGGACCGGGACGGCCCCTAGCGGCGCAAGGCGGGGTGCGCCCGCGTCCCCAGATCTTACCCTGAGCAGTCTCTGCGGAAGACCGGGTGGGAGCTGCTGTATTTCATTGTCATCTGCTCAGAAAAAGACTCTTTTTCTGACTTCTACCAATGTCGAATGCATAGTGGTTCAATATTCTGACCCTGGATGTATGTCAAGGACGTCGGTTAATCGATTCTGATTAACAAATTTATCACCCGGAAAGATACTAGAGCTGGTGTTGCGGAAGGAGGCCCTTAGAAGCAGAAAGTTGGCGCTGCGCAGGGACCAGCAAGGACAGGGCGGGAGAGGAGGGGAGAAGGAGGGGGAAGGGGAAGAGGATGGGGGGGAGGGGAGGGAGGGAGGGAGGGAGGGAGGCAGAGGTGACACTCTGACCCGAGTTCTAGGGCGACTCCCCCACCCCTCCAGTAGCTTCACTTCCTCTCCCCAGTTCCACGCCTCCGCGGTGGTTGGGGCGGTAGTCCTTCCTTCCGCTACTCCATCTGCACCCACTTGGGGTTTCTGCACCTTAGCCATGCGCTCTGGCCCCGGGGAGCCTGGACAGTTGGATTTCTGAAAGTAACAGCTCCATTTCTCCTAGTTAGGAAAGCCTGGGAATTGAAGGAAGAGGTGATAAAAGTTGCCCCTTGACCGTGGTCTCTTGATCTGGGGCACTGATCCAAGACCCCAAGGAAGGAGAAGTGAAATGAAGCAAGGTTGAAATACTAAACGCGGTCTGAGGAGGCCTGCAGACCTTCAGACCCCCGGGTTCCCTTTCTAGCCCACTCCCTGGGCCTGTGGGCCTTCCCGTTTGGGATCAGGGATAGAAGTGAGTTTGTTTCGCATTTCTTCCGGTTAGAGCTCAATACTCTTGAGCAGGGTCACCCCAGGCTAACCTGGAGTGGCAGACACTGAATCAAGTCCAATTTCATCAGAATTGTCGTTCTAGACTCTCAGAATGAAATGCAACACACGACCCTCCCCGCCACCCCACAATAATCCTTTTGCTGTCTCTCTCTCTAGTCCTATTTTTGAGGAAGACACACCATCTGTCATGGAAATAGAGATGGAAGAACTGGATAAATGGATGAACAACATGAATAGAAATGGTAGGTGGAAACCAAAAGCTTTGCTTTCTTTTCTAGTAATAGAAGGATGCAATAACTTTAAATAAATACTTGAATCAATTCTGGAGTGTGACAGAGCCCAAATACTACTATCTATCTAATGCATGTAGATAATAACTTAGGTCTGATAGATCCTTAAATATCCAGTATAATTATTACATGGATTATTGCAACTTGTTTTTATTTGCATACAAGTTGTTGAAATGACCTCTTTCAAGCAGAAAACCATCTCTTTTTTTTTTCCTTTTCTGTTTTGGGGTGCTGAGAATGGAACCAGGGCCTTGCACATGCTACACAAGTTCTCTACCACTGAGATACACCCCCAGGCTCCATGTCTTTTTTTCCAAGCAAGGAAATCTGAGACCAAATTATCCTGGAAAAGCATCTGGCATTTTCTTATGGATAATAGAATTTAGAAATCTATAATTTTGATTTGTATATGAGAGTAACTCTATCAAATGTACTTTACAGAGATCTATGCTGTCCAATACAATAAATGGTAGCCATGTATGACTATTCAAATTGATCAAATAAAATTAGTTTTAGTAATCACATTTTGAGTGATCAGTAACCAGGGGGCTACGTATTAGGCTGAATCTAGGATACTTCCATCACTGCAAAAATTTCTACATAGAGGGGCTGGGTTGTGGCTTAGCCGAAGAGCGCTCGCCTAGCACTTGCGAGGTGCTGGGTTTGACCCTCAGCACCACATAAAAATAAACAAATAAAAATAAAGGTATTGTGCCCAACTATAACTAAAAAATATTAATTTTTTTTACATAGGTAGTAATATAAAATATAACAACTTCCAATTGATATCTGGCAGTAAGAGTACTATATGTTCCTTACTTCCCATTAAGTCAATAATTGGTCTTAAAATGATGATCAATATTTTTTCTCTAAAAATCAATAAATTATTTTAATGCTCAGATGTAATTGCTCAGATGAAATTCACTATTTATGATATCATATAATTTGTATTTTTAACTTATCTTTAAGAAAAACGCCCTGGGTCTGTCAGATTTAATACCCTACAATGGAATTTTCTCAAATCCAGAAATTTGTTATTAAAATTAGATGAGCTTTCCAAAAGATTAGAAGCACTCGATAACTTGTATAATTTCCAACAATTTTTCATACTGAGGGACAAAGGGCCCCATAAAGCATTTGAAGATGGATGTAGGTCACTGACCTTGTCCTTAAAGTGGTTACATATTATTGTTCCTGTTTATAGTATGCACACATAGTAGAATTTGGAAAATGCAAAAAAAAAAAAAAAAAAACAAAGTGGAAAGGAGGATTCCAGTACCAATGACAATCTCTGTCAATATTTTGTTCTATTTCCTTTCGCACCTGAGACTTTGTGAAATACAAATAATAATTCTTTCACATTCATTAAAACCAGAAAACTGCCAAAAGACATCAATTTGCCAATGAAAGTGGAGAGTTATTTTGAGACATAAGGGGGTATATCCAGGGGAATTCTTTTTTTTTTTTTTTCTCTCTTAAAAACAAGGGTGGTGTAATAGAAGAGGATTTGGCTGATTCTAAGAAGGTGGCCATTCCTCACCTCACCTGCTCTTCTCGCTGTGAGGTCTGACTGAAATCATTCTGCATGCTCATCAGGACCTGGGTGCAGCCATTTTATCCCAGTGTCTAGCCTGAAGGATGCAGATTCTGGCTTTTAGAACAACACAGAGGTTCCACGGGGAATGAAAACCAAGCAGTGATGAATTACGCCCTTTCCAATAGGGGCAGAGGCAAGCTCAAGTCTCGAATCTGCGTTATTAGTGCTTTTTTCATTTCAGGAGCCTTGTCACCATTAATCTTTTAACCTCTAAACTCCCTAGAGTGAGATCATTTTTGCACAGGTAACCACACAGATCAAGGCAATTTCTGTGCTCAAGTGTGTCAGTTTTGGGGATAGAAAATAGAATTTCGATGACTAACAATGAGTTTGCTTTTGTTCTGTTCTAGCCGACTATGAATGTTTACCTACTTTAAAAGAAGAAAAGGAATCAAACCACAACCCAAGGTACTTCTAATTTCTACCACAGGTCATATGCTTATGGCAGGAAGGGGACTAGAAACCACAGAGGAGCACTTTTTCTTCACCTTGGCTGCACTTATCAATTTTTTAAAAAAATATTTGCTTTTTAGTTGTAGTGGGACACAACACCTTTATTTCATTTATTTATTTTTATGTGGTGCTGAGGATCGAACCCAGGGCCTCGCACATGCTAGGCAAGCACTCTACCGCTGAGCCACAACCCCAGCAGCACTTCTCAATTTTATTATGGCAATTTACATGGAGTCATATGTATATGGAGAAAAGAAGTGGATTTTGTTTTGGAAAAATACAAAATAAACATCCTAATGACTCTTTACCTTTAGAAATAAATTAATATTGATATTTTCTTCCAGAGAGGCTTCTGTTTTAGTCATAAAAATTTCTGATTATAACTCTAGGGTTGTTTACCTTGCATAGATAGCTGTTTGGTAAGGACAACAGATGGAGATGGCATTCTCAAAGCAGGTAACTGTAAATAAGAATGAATAAAAGGAGCACTTAAAAAAAATTAAAAAAATCCAATCCACCTGGACTGGCTTATGACAGGAGAGAAATTAAATGGAAAATTTTAAATATACATTCCGTTCTACCACTAGGTGGCTCTGCTTGATAGAAAATTTTAGTGCATTGGGGTTTGGGTGTAATTTATTAGCACTCTATGATCTTGTTGAAATTATATTATCCTCTACGAGGACAGAAATGACCCTGTTTGGGTGTTTTTGATTAGAGGATTGTCTGGTCAGGAAGTGGGGAGGACTCAAAAGGAAATAGGATTCATTATTTAGCAAGTTGGGGGCTTGGTGAGCGAGCTTTGCTGAGCTCTCCAGGGGCACCAGGTTGTTGGCAGGGATGATCTGTGGATGATCAGAAGGCAGAGAACTTGAGCCTGCAGTGGGAATGCTACATTTCTGTTGGAAGACACAGAGTAAAGCTTTCATGCTGGATAAATACCACCCTCCTCCTTGCCATCCATCATCATAAGCGGTCTTGTGCAGGTCGTGGTAAATGCTTCCAGAGCACAGTCACAGGTCCCTGGGCCATCCTGGAAGGCAGAGCATTGCGAACAAAGGCTGTTTACTAGACAGTCTAATGGGGCAGTCCGATGTTTGTCCTTGGGATCTTTTTTCTGAACGTTACCTAAAATTCACTATCCCACCTCTCTCTCTCCACATCACACCAACATAATCTTATTCTGGTAAACCTCAGCTTTGATACCAAAGTCTACCTCTTATTGTAGATTTAAGTCAGGGTTAGCTCTCTGGGTGTTTCTGTGTTAAGATTCATTGCTGGTTCAAAAAAAGATTCTATCTCATTTAAATGAAATTCCAGGCTAGGGACTAACAGATGAAAGAAAGGGGAAAAAAATAACGCCACAGGGAGTATGACAAAGGACATTACAAAGGGATATTTTTAGCTTATCTAAAAAACGAGCCACTACACATGCCTGGTATAGGGCTCAGATCAACACCCAAACTCCGTAAATATCTTATTATATATAGCATCACTGATGTGTACTCTCTAATGATGTGAAATGTCAGTGGTTTTTACATACCTGCCTCTTGTTCTTTCACATTATTGGCAGCATGGAAGCAGCTTAGCCTTACCGAATTCTGTGGTGCTGAAAGCTTCTTAAAAATCAGCTCTTTGGAATACTGAGAATTTTGTTCTCTGAAATGAACGGTTGTTCATTTCTGCCTGTAAGGCAAAAAGCCTTAACTTGTTTGGAGAACTGCTTTATGTGAAATTATTATTTTTCATGGGATGGACTACACAGGACAGCTGTGAGGCCTTCCCCTCTTTCCCTGTCTGTGAAACCGGTACCAGCATTTCTAGAACGAGGAGCAGCCAAGTCCCAGGGCTCTGGGCTGCAGTCACTTTCTGATTACTGAAAGGGGTCTATGATATCGTAAAGCAAAGTCTATCCATGTCTAGAGCTCTGGATAGGTATTAGCGCCATATAGTTTGGATAATCTTTCTTTTCTGTCATAATTTTACTTACATTTCTTTCTTCCAATGTCTTGCTTACATTGATAATCAATAAAACCTTTACTTTGACTATCCAATATGAAACAGGAATAAGATTTGAGTTTTTCCTCTAAAGCTCGTGGATCATCAGAGATCTGGGTGAAAAGCACGGTGGTCACTGGACTTTGAATGAGAGGCCTGGTTTTTAAGACCTGACTTTTATGTTCATTTGTTCTTTACACCAAGTCAAGTTTCATTAGCTCTTGAGCGTCCATCTCCTCATCTTGAAAAAATGGAAATATAGACACCTGTTCTTCTAGTTTCATAGCATCATGTGAGAGACTGAAACAATTATGTAAGGTGGTTTGTTTTTGGTTTTGGTACCGGGGATTGAACTCAGGGGCCTTAACTACTGAGCAACATCCCCAGCCCTTTTTAACATCTTGTTTAGAGACAGGGTCTCACTGAGTTGCTTAGGGCCTCACTAAATTGCTGAAGCTGGCTTTGAACTCACAATCCTCCTGCCTCTGCCTCTGCAGCCGCTGAGATTACAGATATGTGCCACCATACTTGGCCAACTATGTAAGTTTTAAAGAACCATGCAAATGAAACAAATTCTTTTTATGCCATAGCAGTAGTTCTCCTCCCCTGTTGGCTGTTTTTATTTAAATATTTTTAGAGCTGTTTTAGGTTCATAGCAAAATGGAGCAGAAAGTACAGAGAATTCCCATCCATCCTTTGCCCTCCCACATGCAAACGCCCTGTTAGCAACATTCCCCCACCAATGTGATGCGTGATGCATTTGTTATAATCAATAAGCCTACGCTGACACATCATCGTCACCCAAAGTCCCCTGCTGGCATTTACCTCTCTGAATCATCCTGCCTCTTCATTAAGCAGTGTACAGGTGAATTTAATGCTTCAGAAAGTGGGTAACAGTCAATAAAGATTGTATTTAGTGGAAATTTACCTAACAAATGAAGACCTCTGGAATCCATTTACAGGGTTCAGCCTTCCATGATGCTCCAAAGACCCCCCTGACCTAGGACCTCTGCTACACTTGCACTCCCCTGTGCTTCTGGGAAAAGGAATGGCTCTGATGGGCATCCAATACCTACTATGCCACACTGCGTACAGACTTTAACCCTTCTTTTTTGTTAGGACTCATAATCTCAGATCTTTCAGAACTTTCCCCATTATCCATTGGCCAGCCCTTGTTGTCATTGGATGAACTTTTTATTAAGCTATGGAATCCCAAATTAACATAGGATTTTTTTTCTTCCAGTCCTAGGGATGGAACCCAAGGCCTGATGCACACCAGGCAAGAGCTCTGTCACTCAGCTACACCCCCAGCCCTAACACAGGAGTTTTAATAAGGACCAGATATGTACACAATACTATGGGAAATTTATACTAAGGTTTTCATGTTTGTTTTTTTTTTTAAAGAAAAACACAATAAAGGAGTTGTAGGGTAGGGAGGAAATTCTGTATTCTCATTTACCACCTTAGCATTTTCCCCTGGTCTGTACCTTACATTGTACAAAGGACTAGTGTCAGTGGTGTTCATAGAGGTCAGAGGAGGTCAATGGCAGAGGTCAGCCCTACAATTGAAGAGGATTTCATTGCTGACTTTTTAAAGCACTGCTAACAATAACAAAAACCAGAACTATTCCATTGATATTATGATTGCTTGCTAGAATTCGTTATAGAAAACACACTCCCTCATTGGCTTACCCCACCCTCACAACACCTTCCCAAATGCTTCCAAATGGTGGTACAAACAGGAAAGGTAGAGTACCTTTTATCATGATCTTATGGCCTAGCCAGCCTCTTTTTTTCCTCTGAGGTATTTCTAGTTAGTTTTCTGAAAGTTTCGTTTTTTTCTGTCACTGCACCTTTAGATGAAAAACCACAGACAAAAAAAAAAATCACAAATATTATCCAAGAGCCCATTTTCTTTCCTTGCCTATCTCTTGATCATAGTGATGGTTTTTACTTGAGCAACAATGTTGAAGATTAGGGAAAGAATTAGATTTGGGTGCATTAAAGTGGGTTTATAATTTTGAAAGCACAGTAATAACAAAAAACAGTAAGACATTTACATAGCATTTAAAAATTTTTTTAGTTGTAGGTGGACACATACCTTTATTTTGTTTATTTATATTTTTTAATGTGGTGCTAAGGATCAAACCCTGGATGGAACCACATGCTAGGCAAGCACTCTACCACTGAGCCACAACCCCAGCCTCTTATATAGTGTTTTCTATAACCCAGGCCTACATCTTGTTACCTAAGAAATGAACTGAGTCAGAGAAAGGACCTAACAGTATTCCTGTTCTTATATAATAAAAATTCTGTTTATTCTGTTATTCATGTTTCTAAATTCAATGGCATTATAAAAATGGGTCACTTCAATATTTATTTATTTATTGGTATTGGGATTGAACCCAGGAGCATTTAACCACTGAGCCACATCCCAATCCCTTTTTATATTTTATTTAGAGACAGGGCCTTGCTATGTTGCTTAGGGCCTAAGTTGCTGAGGTTGGCTTTGAACTTGTGATGATCCTCCTTCCTCAGCCTCCAGAATAGCTGGGATTATAGCTGGGATTATAAGCGTGGACCACCATGCCCAGCTAACTTCAGTATTTCTCAGGGACAAAGGGGAATGAAGGGAAGGGAGAGGGAATGGAAATAGGAAAGACAGTAGAATGAATCAGACGTAACTTTCCTCTGTTCATATATGAATACACGACCAGTGTAACTCCACATCATGTACAACCACAAGAATGGGATCCTAAATTATATTTCACGTATGTAGAATATGTCAAAATACACTCTACCTTCATGTATATCTAAAAAGAACAAATAAAAAAATTAAAAAGCATCCAATGTTGAAGTTTAAACTAGAACAAAAATTTTTGTTCTCTTAAATTTCTTTCTTTTTTTAAAAGAGAGAGTGAGAGAGGGGAGAGAGAGAGAGAATTTTTTTTTTAATA